AAGTTACAATATAAAACTTAACAAAGAAGTAAAACTACACACAAAGTATATGTAATTCAATTTTAACTGAAAGGACAAATTACACAAGTTACAATATAAAACCAACAAAGAAGAATTACAAAGAGAAGAAAAAGGTTTTAATGTCATGTACCAAGATGCAAATAATTACAGTTAAACTACAAGGATATGAGTAAATATATTTTATTTTTAAATATATGATAACTAACTTGTATCAGAAGGAGTTAATCAAAACTGTATATACTTAACATTTAAAGCACATATGAAGCACAGAGAAGGTTTACTTGTAAATGTAATTTAACTACTCATAAATATATATATATTTCAAGAGACACACAGCTGAATTTCCAGATACAATGTAACTGTCACAGTAATAAGCTTTTCCATTTAACTGACAGAATTTTTCTTAATCTAAGTGGGCTTATCGTCAAATGCTGGCTTCTTCTAGTACGAATACTAATGAGAATTCCAACATCGTTGAAATAATTATGTCCTGCATATTAGTACGTCGTATAGTTGCTTGCAATGCCAATCATGTCTGTAGAAACTGAATTAATCTGTTTAGCAAGTGTCTTTCGACACAGTTTTTGGTTATACGTGTATTTCTAAATCTTAGAAGATCTACTGAAAACTTTGGTATGGTATAGATAAATCATAATTAATATGCTTCGAGAGCAGTTTGACATTATTGTTGTTGTTGTTTTTTAAATAGAGATAGCAATAGTTACATATACACATCCTGCCAGCATATTTTATACCCGAGTAATTATAACTACTTTCAAATAAACAGCAACGAACTATCTTTGTCAAACAACGCTAAATTATTTGTGACTTTATCAACAGGAATAATTACATACTACAGTTTTAGGTATGCCAACTGAATGTTAATGATGGAGAAAGTAAACTCACCATCTTTTTAGTTTCATTAACATCCATCATGTACTTTAGTTAGCCTATTAATTTTCTAGAATAAGTTTTCATAACGTTTCAAAACTTTAGTTTCTGTGTCGTAGCTTACCAATGAAAGTCTGATACCAAGATATATGTTTTTAATGTAGCAGACATATATTTATATTATTCAGTATATATTTTATTTGTACATCTTTCTTACAATCTCTGAAACGTTTAAACTTAATTTCAAGTGAACATTTTTGCAAGGTACACGTAAAAAATGTTTTTCAGTGTTATTCTTTTTCTGTAGTTAGATAGATGCTCTAAAGACACTTCAAAGATTTTAAAAACAATTGGCAATTCTTCTACCATCTCTTACTCCTCATTGTTCTTACCAAAATTACTGTCGTGATAATTTACAGTGTACAAAATTGGAAAGATAACAACTTATTGGATCTGCCTAATCCAAGAGGTAACTTTAATTTTATGAAATAAACGTTCTTTAATCAATATGAAATTTCAACCACTACAAGAAGCACATTTATTGAATATTTGTACAATGACACACACTCACGTCAAAACAAAAGTCCAGTTTATGTTGTAGTCTTTAAATACAGACAATTTATTTTACAAGATAACTAAAAGGTTCTATAATGACTGATGCAAATAAATACTCGTACAGTTGAGATATTTCTATCTTGTTCTTACCTCAACACTCATTTGACCCATTATAGCTCGCTGATGTCCTTCTAATGTTTCCAAGGCAATGCGCATGACTTCCGACTCACTTTTTCCCAAGAACTGTTGACATGCTGATCTCAACATTTCCATATTCTGGCCTTGAACTTTAACCTGTAGTATATCTAAAATCAACATCTATTTTCAAATTGTAACAAAAATATATAAGTTCCAATATACATGAAATATAAGATAAAAATATGTTCATATGTTGAACACTTTTAAAGAAGCTTTTGATATCTACATGTATACAAGAAACATGTTGAAACTTCCATTTGATATTTACACTGGAATTCACTTGATTTCAAGTTTACAGTAGGCTGGATATTTCAACTAAAACTTGAACAAATTTTAACCACAGTTTTCATCATTTACATGCTTATTAAAAGTTCTTCTTTGAACACCGTGTCATACACAAAGTATTGACAAAACAACATACAGAAAACATCTGGCCCTGTATGGTTGTCCTTGCATATCAGATTGATATTCCCAACACACTCAAAATAAAATGTTTTAATTCAGAATATATAAAAACATAAATCTGAGTAGAGGTTATCTAGTCTACTCACACGACAAAAACAACCACACAGCAGACCAATATATGGAACACCTTGTCCTTTTTATTGCACCGAAGAAAAATGCCTCCTGCAGAGTTCAAAGTGAGAGATTTGTGTCATTTTACTCAAACACTACTCTTTCTTATCATATCAATAATACTTTGTATTAAAATGTGACTAATCTAATCTCAATGGAAAATAATCACATAGAGTAGAAAGTATTATAAGTTTGAAACTAACCATTTTATTCTACAAGTTAGTAACTGAGTCATGCATTTATGTTTGTATATTAGGCTTCCGGTGGATTAACCTATCTTCAATGAATAAACTACCAATCTTACAAATTTTCATTCACAGTAGGTGTTAACTAATATGATAGAATATACAACTGTTTTGTAAATTTTAATGATTATATATAGATTTCACACACACACATTTCAATTATGCAGAGCTCATAAGACTGGGGCTAACATGTGTGAAATTCATGGTAGCTGAAACTCAGAATTTGGTAACCCTGGGTGTTGATCTAATGAATGTTTACACCCCCTACTTTGGATCCACTAGCATGACACTGGATAAACAAGCATTACAGTACCAATATGTATTCTTTACAAAGAACAGAGAAGGTTTTGGTTTATAAGTGGATACATGTATCATTCTCAAGCAATGAAAACCAAAAAAGAGACAGAAAAAACAGACATTTGTTAATTTACTATCTGAGATGGTCCACAAACAGAATGAAGACGAGCAATGAGCTACGAGACATCAGCTTATACTGGATAACAAATTTCATACGAGGATTAGCCGAGCAGTGCAGTTTCAAGCTACTCAGTTTTCATAAACCAAAGATCAGAGATAGGGAATGTTATCTACACGAACTTGATGTGCCTTCACACATGGGAAACAGCTCGATAAAGAATTGGTTTACACTTTCATAGCACTAGGAATAATATTCTTATCAAGTCTTAGATTTCTAGTTATTGTTTTATATATATATTCTTATGCTTCAGTTTCACATAAAGCCTGTATTTTAAAAGATGTGTGTGTGTCTCTATACATATATAATATATATAAATATATTGTAAGAAAACTAAAGTATTTAATAAATTTAACATTTAATATTTGGAAGAAAAGCATATAAAGAGCACTTCCAAACCTAAGAGGAATTATAGTGATCTATTAAATACACCAGAAAAGACAATACTACCAAAAAACCTGAGGTACATATTACAGTGAAGGGAATTATAAGATGTATCTTGGATATTGAGGTATCTGCCAAAGCATGACCTACAGAACGTAGGGATACATCTTCTACCAGGTTTAATAAATTTGTGTTTATTCCTTTCTTAGTGGCCATCAGTAAAATGAGTAGGGAATGTTATAGGCTATACTTTTACTGAAATTTTTTTTCCTTAAAAAAATAGGAACAACAAACATAGATGTAGGAAGGGGGGGGGGGTCAAGGGGGCAATTTCCCCCTAAATTCTGGCCCAAATAGTTTTTTTGGGCAAAAAATCGCCCAAAATATTCAGGCAAAAGCTCAGTACATATCTACAGCTTTTCTGTTTGCAAAGTGATTATACCTTTTTAGAAAGTATATTACCGACACGTGACGTTTTCACTTGAACCTTTTTAACCCTTCAGCCCCATATGGTTCTGCACGGAAGTCATTGGAACCATTTATTTCAAGAAACTTTAAACCTTATAGTACATGATTTTAAGGTCGATTTTATATTTTTGGGCAAAACTTGCTCCTCCCCCCCCGATCAAAATCAAGCCCCTAAGCCTATGACAATAACATAATACTTTGTTTCTGCATAGTTGTTTTTTGTGCATATCTTAGACCTACGCATTAACTGAATAACAAAAATATTCCATTAGGCTACTGTTTCTTTACCTGAGCAATTCCAGTTACTGAGATAGGAACACCTTGTTGAGTGTAGACTTTATGGCTTTCAATCGTTAGAGTAATAACATTGAGAGAAATTCTGGAAAAATATGAAATAAATTTTAAAATCTTGGGTTTTACTACAAAAATGCTCGTATTATACTGTTGGAAAAATTACTCTTGTGGTAATAACATTGTCAATAAGCAGAAATAGCTTAGGTTACTGTATTCTATCTGCTATATTCTGTTAAAATCTAAGCCAGCTTCTAATTTTTTGTGTTGAACCATAGGTGAGTATGTATTTAAATAACAGTTATAGTAAAATAACCAAAGAAATTAAAATACACAACTAATTTCTCTATTAGCTGAGAAAGGAAGTAAAGGCATACCTCTGAACTTGTTGAATTATAGGCCATACAAAAACCCTGCCACCAGGTATTATCAATGGATCTCCAAGGCAGCAACCTAAACAAGAGTAAAATAACCCACGAAAAAAATCATTACATATACTTTAACATCCAGGAATCTCTGAAAACAAATATCAAGTAAGATATATTCCTTGTGCATATCATATGTAATCTGACACATGTACAGGTTGGTATAGTTTCATAATATACTCATAAAGAAACTATATCAAGTAAGATATATTCCTTGTGCATATCATATGTAATCTGACACATGTACAGGTTGGTATAGTTTCATAATATACTCATAAAGAAACTATATCAAGTAAGATATATTCCTTGTGCATATCATATG